GAAAGCAAAGTGATTGGGGGGAGGTTTATTTCTAACCTGATGGATGCAAGATACTTAGAAATTATTCTTGCAGTTGCTCTGCCTGTTGGCACAGGGCCGAAACAGATTATAGTGAGCCTTATCTCAGTATTTTTAGTCCATGCAGTGGATGATTTACAATCATAGAGTACTGTGGGTATATCAAGCTGGTTTTACATCAGTGTTATTAATGACAATTGTTCTTACTTTATAGGTTGATGTAATCATTAAACTTTGGAAAAATGGGTTTACAGTAAATGATGGTGAACTTAGGAGCTACTCTGATGTTGCAAACCAGCAGTTCTTGGACTCCATCAAAAAAGGGTGAGTTTTGTGTTCTTAATCAGCCCGAGATAATGTGCTTTGGATAGCACTTAGCTTATGCTCTAAACTTTTTACATAGCTGCTTGGCTTTGCTGCACTGCAGTATCTCTGTAGGAGCGTAGGCTACTACCTGTCTCGGTTCCTGCAGTGCTAATGGCTGTTTTAACATCAACAAGTTTAATATAGCTTTCAACTGCAGTAGTTGTACAGTTGCTGATGAAATAGATAAAAGGGAGCGTTGGTGGGGGGGGCACAGCAGGTGCAGAATGAAATAAAGAATAAATCAGATTGCCCAGTAAGAGCTACTGATCAAATGGTACTTCGACTAATGAACTCAATGAACAAGTGGTTGAGCATTTCTGGTTTTATGGTCTTTGTTTTATTTTTGTTGATGAAAAGCCTTAAATGGGTACAGTTGCTCCATGTAGTATCAAGAAACTGATCAGTCTTAAATTTCAGATGTTTTTCGTAGTACAATCTTGCTATTTCAGTCACTTGTGTGTATATAGCAATCTTACCTTTATCCCCCTGGTAAAAGTTAGCATGCTATCCTGATTTCTGCTAGTGTTTGCAGTGTTGCTTTAAAAAAACAGATTGAACATACAAACCAATGTAATTTTGAGCCTCTAATTTGTAGTCTGTTTCCTCACCCCTTGCAAATTGAGAGGAGAATATAATTTTATTGAGAATATAATTTAATAACTCTTTTTCAAGTATGTGAAATTACTAAGCCATTGTATTTTTCTTTTCCATACTTTGCTAGCCCATAAAAAAATACTAATTTTACACTATATTTCTCCTCTATGGCTGTCACCTGTGTTAGTTATAATAGCATTTAACTGCACTGTTTAAATCCCTTTGCTTTGTGTGTATGCATCAAAAGTTTGCCACCTTTCTTCTACCGTTTGCTTGTGAAGATGCTAATTACAAGATGGTTCCTGCATAATCGTTGCTGGTAGACAAGCACTTAGTACAGCCCCTGTGCCAGCTGAGCCCCACCATCTGAAAACATAGTATCTGCATCAGAGCTCATAGACAAAGGCATTGTTGTGTTCTGCTTAATGCAAATAAATATTACCAAGGTGATGTTACTGTGCTAAAGAGTGCAGCTATTTGCGATGATCTAATTTTTAAAAGCTGAGATTTGTGTTTATTTGTAATTAAACACATTGTGTCTCAATGCAATTCTTTCTCTTTAAAAGCCAATTGTGTTTTTTCTTCTTGTTTTACTATGGGGATAAAATAATTGAATATTTTGCAGCAATGTATGGCAATACTGAACTTCCTACACATCATGTGCTTTGGAGTGATAACTGCTGAGTAAATTTTAGTATCATTCAAGAACTTGTATGATGTTGAGGTTTTTTATTGTTAATTTTCTAGTTAATTTGCACTTCAGGATCTTGAAGTTGTTTGTATGTCATGCACTTAACTCTTAGTAAATACTTCTGAAGTTTTTTTTTTAAAGCATCATCCTTGAAAGGATAAACATAGAACAGGTGTTAATCATTAATCTATTTAGTATACTGAAAATAGTACAGTACCTTTTCTGACGTGTTGGGTTTGTTTTTTTAAGGGAACTGCCTTTTGAGCTACGAAAAGTTTTTGATAAGGAGGAGGTAGATGTGAAAGTGGAAGATAAAAAAGATAAGGTGTATTTGTCATCGAAAAAGCCAATGTTTCATCCCTTTTCTGGACATGGTTACAGATTAGGAAGGTGAGTAGTCTGATGTGACTATGATTGAGTAGCTGAAGGGAACTGTACTTACGGTAAAGGATCTCATAATTCAGGTTGGAAGTGACCTCTGGAGTTCTCTAATCCAAGCTCCTGCTCAAAGCAGGGTCAGCTGTGGGGACGGATGAGGTTGCTCAGGCTTTTATCCAATTGGGCTTTGAAATCCTGCAAGACTGGAAGCTGTGCAGCCTGCTTCAGTGCTGGACTGTCCTCATCGGAAAGAAATTTTTCTTTATATCCGGTTTCAGTGTCTCAACAATTTACATCCACCATGAAGAATCTGGTTCCCTCCTCCTGATGACCTCCTGTAGGCCCTGGCAGGCTGCTGTTAGGTGTGTGTCCCCCCGACACCATCTATTTCACAGGCTGAAGAAGGCCCCTCTCCTCCAGTCTCTCCTCACAAGGTGAATGCTCCAGCCTGCGGCCATCTTGGTGGCTCTCAGTGGAATTTGCTCCAGTTCATTGACATCTTTCTTTTATTTTGGGTACCAAATCCAAATGCAGTGTTTAGGTATGTCTAATGAGTGCTGCATGGAAGATAAGCTCCCACAATCTACTGGCTGTCTTCTGTTCATGCAGCCAGGATGCTGTTGGCTTTCTTTGTTCAAGGTCTCGGTATTAGCAGAATTGTTTCCAGCTGAAAGGCTGTCACTCTTCTGTTCTGTGATTTAAGAGAAAGGAATCTCTTTTAAAGCTGTATGTGCATTACTTTGTGGGCGAAGAGGGGAGTTGGCAGTCCCCATAAAGGGAACTGAAGTAAGAGGTTCTTTTGCATTATCTTAAAATTCCTCAGTATTTAACCATGCATTTATTGCAGTAAGACATTTTAGTGTGTTACAGTGATCCTCTTTCCATTATTCCATGACTCTCTTGTAGGTTGGAGAGTGTCAGCCACTAATGCCAATGCTAGAACTGGACTTGATTTATACCCAAACGGTACTGTATTTTGAAAGGTTATTGTAGAGGGGCAGGCCTGGAGCTCATGTATTTGATCCCTGTGGCTTTTGCTTACTCCAGCCAAATGATCTGCTTCACATATCCCTGTTGTGTAAGACTTACATGGCTATAAAAGCAGACTTTGGCCTAGGGAACACAACACATTCAAGTGATCAGGAGCCTACAGGAAGCCTTCACAGGTGGGACTGCTTAGTGACCTGCCCACTGGAGTTAGTAGACTGTGGTAAAACCTTAGGTTTGTTTCGATTAAGTGGAAAGGGCTTGCTGCTAAGGCCCAGTGCTTGTGCTGCGGGAAAGTGTGGTCTGGGTAGGAAGGGATGAGGCAGGGGAAGAAGATAATAATGTGCAGAGTAAGAGACTGATAACAGTAAAGGGTGAGTGGTTCCAGGCTGCCTCAGAGAAGCAAGTATCTGTTTTATCAGTTTCATCTGCTTCTGTAGCACAGGCCATTCAGTTGCTACATGCTTGAGTAGATACGGTCAATAGGGAAAATCTTCTCTTGAGAGATGGATGAGATGCTGCAAGACTTGCTTTTAGTAGCACTGAAATCCTGAGCAAATGAGGGTCAAGAACTTAACCTTATTTTATCTACAAGTAAACTGTATATAGCAGAAGCAAAAAGATCTTCAGTAGGCTGGGTTTCTACTGCTAACCAGTGCTAAATGGGAAGTTGTTCAGTTGCTTGTCATGCTCTGTCATAGAATCATTTAGGTTGGAAAAAACCTTTAAGATCATAAAGTCCAACCATTAACCTAACACTGCCATTCCACCACTAAATCATGTCCCTCAGCACCTTGTCTGCCTGTCTTTTAAATACCTCCAGGGATGGGGACTCAACCACCTCCCTGGGCAGCCCCTTCCAGTGCCTGACAACCCTTTCAG